GCTGCTGTACGTGCGGCCTCGTACCTTGACCGATCTTGGGGTAAAGGGATGAAAGGAGGGTCGGTGAGGAGCTGAATCCGGGGCTTCTGCAGAGCTGGGCAGGGATGTGGGTCTGGCCGCTCGGTGAAGCTGCAGGGTGGGGGGTCTGACAGCGCTCGTCTCCCTCTGCAGACCGACTTCAAGACGGCCGATATGGACGTGAACGCGGATCAGGACATTGAGAAGAACTTGGTGGGTATCAAAGCCCTGCCGTCGGGTCCGGGCTCTGCCACTCACGCTCCCACGCTGCTGTTCCCGGGCGAAGGAGCTGGAGCACTGTGCTTCCCGCAGGGTGTCTTTTCCTCGTTAAAATACCAGCCTTGGCGTTCTTAGGCCGTCCTCTTTAAAGGAGGAAACGCAGTGCTAGCTGCAGCTTCAGGCGGCGCCTGCCTTTGTGCTTTCCGATCTAGAGAGCCCCAGCTTTGGAAGTGGAAGCGCTTTAACTGTGCTCCTTGACAGTGGTGCCTGCTGGGCTCTTGCACGCTGCTGCGCTTTCCTGCCCCTGTACGCACTCTCTTTAGCGTGAGGGAAGGGGAAGGCTCTTCCTAAACTGCTGCTCTCTGCTGCAGGACAAAATGATGTCTGAGAGGGCTTTGCTGAAGGAGCGTTACCAGGAGGTTTTGGACAAACAGAGGCAAGTGGAGAATCAGCTGCAGGTACAGCTTAAGCAGCTCCAGCAGCGGAGGGAAGAAGAGATGAAGAACCACCAGGTATTTGGCAAAGTTCTCTTTCAGTTTAACCTGCCCGTTAGCTCTGCCGCTTATGCGATTAAGGTGGGCCGCTTTGGCCTCGTGCGGAGGGATGCGGCAGGGAGCAGAGCTGGCCGTGAGAAGTGGCAGCGACACGCTGCGTCGCCGTTTCTTGTGCGTATGTTTTACAGCGCTAAGGACTGGCCCCTGCCCAAATCGGGGCACCGAGCGGTTCCGATCTGACTGAAGGATCTGACTGAACGGTGTCCCTGCCGATGATCTTGCGATGTCTCTTTGACAAGCGTGGTGCTTTCTCCAAATGCAAACTGGTGCAAAGTGGGGACAATTCGCTCCGTGTGATTATTTAGATCTCTGTGGCTGTGGCTCACGGATCCTGAGGTTAAACGACCGACTTGCACGTGGCCCTACGGTAGCTCACAACAAAAGGAATGATCAGTGGCCCATCGGCTAGATCTAGAGCAGAGCTCGCTGCCCCTTAAAATCCTTTTGAAGAGACAGGAGAACCCGTGGTTTAGAGCGCCTGCCAGTCTCCTGGGTTTCCTCATCACAACTGCTATATATTTTGTCTGGGTCTACTCAAAAGAAAGATTCTGATGATGCGTGTGATCTCACAATCTCTGTTCAATGAATCTAAAGTAGTAATGGATTTTAAACCAAAACCATTACTTGGGAATTTTGCTCTTTATTCGTGCGATGCTTGTTTTTACTCTAGGAGATCCTGAAAGCAATTCAGGACGTTACGATCAAGCGAGAAGAGACAAAGAAGAAGATGGAGAAAGAAAAGAAAGAATTCTTGCAGAAGGAGCAGGATCTGAAAGCAGAGATTGAGAAACTCTGTGAGAAAGGCAGAAGGTATTAATATGGAAAAGCACCGTGTCCTGTCGTAGAGGTCTGGGTTTGGATTTTTTCCAGTCTGAGGGCTCGGCGATGTTTTTGGATAAAGCTCCTTTAGTAACGGTTCCAAGTACATCGGCTGTTTCTCCCTGAGCGGACGGTCGCAAAGCATGTGTTGTCAGAGCGGCACGGCTCCCTGCGGTGGATTCTGGTTCTATGCCACAATCTTTGTGCAGTATCATGATACAGCAAAATTTCTGCCCTGGAGGATGTCAGCGATTGCTTTCAAATGTTTATTGAATGGCGCAGCCTGCAGAGCCTGTTGTTACGCTGGGCGCGCGGCTGTGCCAAGATGGTGTTTCCGCTCGGGACCCGCGGCTGGGCGATAACGCCTTTGCGGTAGGTGACTCCACCTGCCCTTGTTCTCTCGTGCAGGTTGCTGAAGGAGCAGGAGGAGAAGGAAAACAAGATCGCTTCTCTGATTGCAGAGCAGTCTGATGAAAAGTAAGGCTCTTCTCTGCTACTGGATTGATGCTGTTGAATGCTCATTTCCTTCCTGTCGTTTTGCCCTGGTGTGAATCTGATGCTTCTGGTGATCCTCTTTGATCCTGGTCACCAGTCGGCTCCTGGATACTTGTGACCTGAAGAGCCCCTAAGATCAGAGTTTATCCTCGGCCCGTAACTGCCACCTCTGACTGAATTTCCACTTCCCAGAGCTAGGGCAAGCCTGTTTCTCTCTCTGTTCCCCACAGCTGCCCAACTGCTCTAACCTCTGGCGCGCTCGGGTGTTTTAAAGCTGGGCAGAGGAGCTCCAGATCCGGGCATAGATGCTCACGTAGCAGAGGTGGAAAGGGCCAGCTATCAATGTCTTTGGGATCAGAATGACTCAGTTCTGCGTGCTGCCTCAGGTTGCTGCCCAGTCCAGACCTGTGCGCCTTTCCCTGGAGTTGGATGGAATTTTGCCCAGGGGAATTCCCCTCTCCTCGTTTTGCCCGGCGTGTTTGCCCACGGGTTGTTTGCACACTCTGGAACAGCTCGCTCTTGGGACGGTGGCTCATGCAGCCTTGGGAGCTGTGGCTGGTGTCACGGTCTGGAAGCTGTCGATCTTCCAGGGTGCCGCTCCATCCAGAGCTACCAGGATCGATCGGTTTTGGGGGAGTTTGTCAGCTCTCCCGTTCCAGTGCCTAAGCCGACGGTTCTGTTTCTCTCTGCAGGCAGCTCTGGGAGATGGAGCTAGATAAGCTGAAGAACCAGCACAATGAAATCAACAGGAACATTCTTGAGGAGACAGAAAGGGCCTGGAAGGCAGAGGTCAGTGGGTGACTTCTTCCTTGCAGAGCAGATGTTGAAGAGTCTTTTGAAGATTCCGGGTTGTAAGGAACGGTTATGCAAAATGAGGAGTAGTTGAGGCTGAGGTCAAAGCCCCCTCTCTGTGGGATGAGAGGAGGGATAAGCAAATACCGGTGCAGTAAACGTTAGTCGAGACTAACTAACTTGGTGCGGTGCTTAGTGAAGAGATCACAGTCGCGATCTGGCGGCATGAAACAAGGGAGTACGAAAACTGCTCTTCACATGGGGCCTCTCTCTGCCAGATCCTGTCCCTGGAGAGCCGAAAGGAGCTGCTGGTGTTGAAACTAGAAGAAGCAGAGAAAGAAGCAGAGCTACACCTCACCTACCTCAAGTAAGTCCACATAGTCTCAGAAATGGTGGGGTAACTCGGGTGTCCCTACGTGCCCATCTCCTCTTCCTCTGCTTATGCTGGCAGTTTGACTGAAAGAGTTCAAGGTTTCCCCTGGCTTTCTTTTGAAAAGAACATGATTCGGTAATGTCAGAAAACAAGGGTACGTGGGGCCGTGCTTATCCCCTGCTAGTGTTCACCTGCTGAATGTGCGCTGTGCTCTGGGCAGAGTGCTGTAGGCACGGCCTTGACTGCGGTGTCCGTGCCGCCATCCGCACTCTGGTGGCGCCAGGCGCTCTCCTCTCGCCCAGCCGAAGGGTCTGAGCCCCTCTGCTCGCCCAGCTGGAGGCGGGGAGCCTTGGTGAGGGAAGGCGGGAGGGTGTGGGGCGTTAGCTGCTCCCGCTTCGCTTGCCAGTTGCAAGAGGGAAAGTTGAGTTGTGCTTGCAGATCTGCGCCGCCCACGCTGGAGACGATGCGGCCGAAGCAGGAGTGGGAGATGAGGCTGAACAGGATACGAATGACCAAGGAAAGCGTCCGAGTAAGTTCCGGCCGGATGGCTCCCAGCCTAACGGCAAGCAGTTCTTCTCGTGCAAGCCACTTTGCACGCTCAGTCCCAGTCCTCTTTGGGAGAGAAAAAGCTGCGTGCCCAAAGGCACGGCACAGTCGGTCTGCCTTTGCGAGTAGCCACGGAGACCTCCGGCTTGCTTCTTCAGGCCCGCGCGTGTGGCTAAGCCGCGCGGCTGTGAAAGCAGTTAGTTGCGTTAGTCGCGTTGCGTTCTCTTTCTCCCGCCGGGTCTTTTTTCATCCTCCTGACTCCTGTGGAACCAAACTGTGTCTGCTTAGAGCCTGCAGCCACACTGGGGCTGAGAACGCTCTGCCCAGGCAGGGGAATCTGCCTGTTCTAGGCAAGCAGCGCCCAAAACTTCCTCAGGCAGAGGCTTTGAGAAACGTGTTTCTTTTCCTCTCTGCTAGGATCAGTTCAACGACCACATTCAGATGGTAAGAAACGGAACAAAGCTGAGCAGCCTCCCACAGATCCCGACCCCGACGCTGCCGCCTCCGCCCTCAGAAGTGAGTGCCTCTCGGCCGAACAAACGCACGCTTTCAGTGCCGGGAAGTTGCTGGGAGGCCCTGGGCACAGCCCGCCCACTGGCCCATACCTGGTGCTGCCTCCGCCATGCGCGCTGAGGGAGGCTGTGTGGGATTGCGCTTTCTGGAGTCCCGTGCTTGTCTCCCATCTGTCTGGGCTCGCCTGCTGTCCCAGGAGGGGAGGGGAAGGGTCTCCTGCCCTTGCTGGGAGGAGCACAGCCGCCAGTGCCTGCGGCACAGCCCTCCTTCTGCCCGGCTGGGGGTGAAGGCGCGCGGCTCTGATTTTCAGATGGGCTTATTCCAACCAGCCTTTTCCTCCCCCCCCGCCCCGTTTTTCTTTCTCAGACAGATTTCATGCTGACGGCATTCCAGCCCAACCCATCCCTTACTCCCAGGCTCCCGTTTCCCATCGGACCAGTTCCCGTTCCCATGGTGATGCCAAGCGCCGATCCTCGGGCGCTCTCCTTTCCCCTCCTGAACCCCGCGATCTCCAGGCCCAACCAGCCTTCCCCGCCGCTGCCTGCTTCCCAGGGAAGGAACAGCCCTGTAGTGGCATCGCTCATTGGCACGCATGGCCCTCACATGGCTCCCGCTGCCTCCATCCCTCCTCCGCCAGGCCTGGGGGGAGTTAACGTCGCTCCAGAATTCCACAGGCTGCAGCCGGCCGATAAGCTGGAAAAGCTGCTGGAGAAGTTGTTGACTCGGTTTCCACAGTGCAACAAGTAAGCGCCTCGCCTTGGCCTTTCCTAGAGAGGGGAGGCTTGTGCGTGGG